AATTGTTTCATGCTTCTTGTTATATATATATATATATATATTGATTATTATCGTTGTTATAATAAAGCATGATCAATTGTTGAATCTAAATCTTTGATATGAACCAGTATATATTTTAATTGACTTCTAAATTGATAACTCCTCTTTTGATTGATGTCATGAGTTGAGCCTTGAGATATGAATATGTCTGTTTGATTATGATTATGAACCTATGGTATGTCAGTCAGAATACCCATGTTAACATGGTAGTTTTAATCTTTGTGCACATCGTATTTGAATACTAGTTGGTCGGGGAAGTCACCAACCTGTGTGGATTGATCATCCTAAAGTACAGAGCCTCATGCTTATTGCATTTTGATTTTCTGACGAGTTTTACCATATGATTTTCTTGTTATGACCTATTTGAGAAACCTTTCCATAAGAACCTAAAGCCATAATTGTATATATATTCATCCTTGTTATATTACCTCGAGTGTGTATATTGAATATTATCTATTCACTGAGTTATTGAACTCACTCTCTCATCATTTATCCTTTTCAGGCTTATAGTTTGATAGCAGGTTACTTTTGTTGGACTTTGAAAACCTGCTCTTTTGGTAGTAATTTGTACCTTTTTTTATATCTAGTTAGAGCTTCAAAACTATGTAATTATATGAACTCTTGTATTAAGACAATAAAATTATATTATGAAGTTAATTTTGTTAATAATGTTGCGTTGAACTCTGATTGAGTTAGGAGAAGTTTGTGTGTAAGTTTGGGTTTGTATAGTTATGGAACCTTAGAGAGGAACCTTACCTATGTACTGGTCATGGATCCGGGATTCAGGTTGCGACAATGACAGTCTAAAATTTTCATAGCAAACCATCCAAAACTTGCAGGTGATACCAGCAGCATAGAAAACTCAATCCAAATCGACGCAGACATCCAAGGTTCAACTATGAGAAATTTAGACCACTACACCATCATGCCCAAACTAAAAAGAAAAATCAGACCACACAATAAATCACAAAATTGATCATAGAGATGATTTAAATAATGAAACTTAAAGCCGTGTATTCCCATACAACATCGAGTGATAGAGAATATTTAAAGCATTGTGAGTTGCCTGACTTTACTTGGAGCCATTTCCAACATTTCCCACACAATGCTCCTTTGACACTTCCGAAACCTGCCTGCCTGTACCAGTATTGGGGTTGGATGTCTTTTCAGAATTTGAACGGGCGTTGGTTTTTCTTGATTAGCAAAAGCACCATCAGTTATTTCACAAGTCACTTCAGAAACTTCAATGATTTTGTCTATTATAAGTACATCTGCATCTTCAGCTGCATCCTCATCCTTACAAACAGCATCCCGGGTCCAAGTTATACTGAGAACAGATAAATCAATGAATCATATTATCTTAGACAAGAAGCATGAGTAACAACATACATGCTAAGTTTGTCAGGAAAAGATTTATACCTATTGTTAATAGCATCTTCAGATAAATTTGCACTGGCAATTTCTTTTTGCCTCCTTTTCTTATTGCTCTGACTTTTCCCTAGCTGAGAATCAACAGAATTATCCAAAGATGAGTTGTCAACTCGTCTTTTCCTTCCATCCTGTGGTGCTAGATCAGAAATTGGGTGTGTGATCCTTTCATTTGCAACTTCCACGATATCATATTCAGCAGCACGTGCTCCCTTTGTAATAATGCCTTCAGGAGGCACTTCAGGCATCACCTTTGGCTCACCATAAGCATATCTAATAGGTTGGCTTTTGTCAAAAATTTCTACTGACATAAACTTTTGCCCACAATATCCATTCAAGGTATCCAATGTTCCAGCTGTCAAACTTGCATCTTCATGGCCAGACATCCAGACTCCTCACTTTTTGTTAGGGGCCTCCCAGGGGAATTTTTAAAGATCAATTCAATGCAACTCTTTATCCAAGAAAAACGATCAGAGTTTGGGGAGGAAGCAACATTTGCTTTTAGTGTAGGAGAGTTGACTCCACCTATAACGTCATGACTCGAATCCCGGATCCATAACCGGCACATAGGCAAGGTTCCCCTCCAAGGTTTCATACCTATACGAACCTAAACTTACATACAAACTTCTCCTTAAAAACTTAATTAGAGTTCAACATAGCACTAATGCAATTTGATTGACTTAATACAAGAGTTAATATAATTTCATAGTTTTAGAGCACTAACTAGATATAAAGGAAAATGTACAAATTACAACTAAAAAAGCAGATTCTGAAGGTCCAACAAAAGTGACCTGCTATCAAGCTATAAGCCTGAAAAGGATAAATAATGAGAGGGTGAATTCAACAACTTAGTGAGTAGATAACGTTCAATACACACACACCAGGTAATACAGCAATGAGAAATATATATACAAGTATGGCTCTAGGTTCTTATAGAAATGTTTCTCAAATTGGCCATAACAAGATCATATGGTAAAACTCATTAGAAAATCAAAATGCAATAAGCATGAAGCTCCGTATTGTAGGATGATCAATCCACATAGGTTGGTGATTCCCCCGACCAACTAGGGTTCTGATACGATGTGCACAAAGATTAACACTACCCTGTTAGCATATGTATTCTGATTGACATACCATAGGTTCATAATCATAATCAAACAAATATATTCATATCTCAAGACTCAACTCATGACATCAATCAAATGAGGAGCTATCAATTCAGAAGTCAATTCAAAATATATACTGGTTCATATCAAGAATTCAGATTCAATAATTGATCATACTTTATCATAACAAAGATAATAATCAACATATATATTATTAAGAAGCATGATCCAATTCATAATAAAAAATCAAATATTTATAATATTTCTCATACATATGGAAAATTATCCACTCACCTGACTCGAAAGCAAACAGAAATCAAAAGCAGACACCGAAGAAAATTCTACTGACGTCCTACCGGTAGAATATCAAGATTATTTGAATACAAAGGAAACATATTCAAGAATGACTCAAAAGAACATATAACCTATTTAATACACTTAACTAAAGGTCTATTCCATAACCCTATATGTTTTTAGATTAAACTAATTATTTTCCTAAAAACCCAAAAATTAACGGTTTTTTCTGAAATCTAATCTATAATAAAACAAATAATAAAATTGGTAATAATTCACTAAATAACCCTAAATTATTCATCAAACTAATCTGAAAAAGCTAACATCACAGCTAGGAACTAATATGAAATTTATCATATTTTTAGGGCCAAATTGTAATTTTCATCTAATTGGAGGACCAAACTAAACATATCCTAAATTCATGAATATAGTGGAATTATATTCATAATTCATCATCATTTTTGTCCACAACCTCTAATTATTCTCTAGGGACCATTCTGGAATTTTTTCAAATTTGTAGGGTCAAATTGTAATTTTTGTCAAATGGAGGACCAAACTAAAATCTGTCATGAATCCATGAATATGCTGAAATTATGACCATAATTAATCCTCAATTCTGTCCAGAATATCTCATTATACTCTAGGGACCATTATGGAATTTTACCAAATTGTTAGGGTCAAATGGTAATTTTTATCAAATTGGAGGACTAAATTGAAAGTGTTAAAAGTTCATAAGTTCATAACTATACAGTAATTTTTCCCATAATTCATATGTTATTCTGTTCAGAATCTCAGAATATGCTCCAGGGACCAATCTGTAATTTTCCAAAGTTTGGGGACTAAATTGTAATTTTCCAAAATTGAGGGACCAAACCGAAATTTTATCTTCTTCAACCTCCAACCCAGAATTTTAACAGAAAACCCACTGTTCTTTCCTTATTTCTAACACAAATTCACCATTCAAACAAAATCATAACTCAAAATCATCATCTTTCAATTCAATCTCTCAAAATCAACCAAATAATCAAATACCCACAACAATTAACCTTATAACATTCAATTTAATTCATCAATTAAATCCAAAACACAAATTTTCAAAACCCTAAAATTCATCAAAACCAAAATTAAAATTCAATTAATATACATTTACACATTTAACAACCTAAATCTTACCTTTAAACTTATTTCTTCAACTCCTTTTTATTTCCTTTCTATTTTCCCTCTTTTCTCTTCTTCTTCTTCTTTCTCCCTTCTCTCTCACGGTTCTCTCTCTAAAAATATTCAAATCTCTTTTTCTTTTTCTTTTTTCTTCTTTCCATTTATATTTATAATCTCTTTATTTAATTATTATTATACCCCTCATTTATTTATTCCAACTTTTAAACTTTCAAGGCTTTATTGTATTTTTGAATTCATTAATTCAAAACGTAACATATAATGTTGTCACTTCCTACTTTTCCGCATGAAACCAAATCAGTATCTTGTACACTATTTTGTTGCTTTAAACGCCTTATTGCAGAAATTTTCTGTCGGCTAGACTCCATGTTGTATTGTTGAATCTCTTCCACTTCCATATCATCCAAGGCAAGTTTCAAATCATCCAGTTTTTTCAGTTGCTCAATCTGAACAAAAATCTCCTCTCTCTCTCTATGTAACAATTGCCTTTGTTCCTCTAATTTTTGTGTCTGACCCTTAAGTTCCTCAATGGATTTATTCAGCATTGCCCATTCGCCATCCTTTCTCTCACAGTCCAAATTTATCTCATTCTCTGAGCATCAAGTTTTGACATTTCTAAAGCAACTTGTTCCAACTATTTTTCTGCTTTTTCTCTAAGAGAGGCAATATAGTGAAGCTGATTTTTCTTTTCTAGCTTAAAGGCTTTTTCTTTATCCCTTAAATAACTTTCTATCTCTTCACACCTTTTCTCAGTGCTGCTCTTCAGTTCCCTCTTCTACATCTCAATGCCCAACAAGAACTCTGCATGTTCCTTTTGAATCTTGTTGAACCATTTGGTGCGCTCTTGCTCCATTTTATTCGTGAATTCTTCACACTCGCGATTAAGAGACTCCACATCTTGCATGTGCTGATCTCGTATTGCTTTCTTCTCTAGTCTAAGGCTATTGCGTGTTAGGATGCTGGCATGCAAACCCGACAAGATAAAAAATAAGAGACAGGATAAAATGAGAAATGGAACACACAAGAATTTACGTGGTTCACCCAATTGGGCTACATCCGCAGACAAGTATAGAAGAATTTTACTAAGTAATAGGGAAATTACAACCTCTCTCGAATAATAGGAGAACAACTAAGAATCTCTCTATTATTAGGAGAAAAGACCTCACTTACTCTATCACAAATACCTCACAATTTTGTGGGATTACTGTCTCTTCACTCTCTTCTTCTTCTCTCTATTTTGGTGTGTATATAGGCTTGAATGCATTGCTTATTTATAGGCAAGAGAGAGGGATAATGGCCATAAATTTAGGAGGAATATATGCCTAACAACTCATCCTCCACTTATACTCCATTAATTATACCAACTCATCCTCCACCAATTACAACTCATCTCCCACTCATATCCCATTAATTATGCCACCTAATTACATGACTTTACATTCTCCCACTTGAAGTCTTTGATGATGTAATCAAGTCTTCACACTTGATTATCTGTGATTCTTCGTCTATCTTTTCTATACTTGTCATCTTCATGTTGTTTACGTTTCTGTTAGGCTATAAGAGGATCTGCACCATATATACTTATCAGTGTTGACCGGTTTGGTCAAAGCATCTACTGGGTTTTCCTTTGTGTGAATCTTCTGAAAATCCACACTTCCATCTTCCACCACTTCGTGAACAAAGTGATACTGAACATCTATGTGTTTTGTTCTTGAATGAAATGCTGGATTCCTTACAATATACAAGGCACTTTGACTATCACAATACAAAAGAATATTCTCTTGTTTGTGCCCGAGCTCCTCCATAAGTTTCTTTATCCATATTGCTTCTTTACAAGCTTGTGTAGCTGCCATGTACTCAGCTTCTGTTGTGGACAAAGCTACAACAGTCTGAAGTTTAGAAACCCAGCTCACAGCTCCTCCTGCAATTATGAACACATAGCCTGTAGTGGATTTTCTTTTCTCAAGGTCACCAGCAAAATCTGAGTCAACATAACCTTTGATCGTAAATTCTGATCCTCCATAACATAATGCAACATCTGAGGTATCCTTGATGTATCTCAAGATCGTCTTAATAGTATTCCAATGCTCTCTACCAGGATTTGCCATGTATCGACTAGCTGCTCCCACTGCTTGTGCAATGTCTGGTCTTGTACATATCATGGCAAACATTAAACTTTCCACTGCTGATGCATACGGTACTTAAGACATCTCCATCCTCTCTGCTTCATTGCTAAGAGACATACTTGAGGATAATTTGAAATTAATAGGAAGTGGGGTGGAAATTGGCTTGCAATCTTGCATGTTGAAGCGTCGCAAGATTTTCTTCAAATAATTCTTCTAAGAAAGCCAAATCTTCCTCTTACTTTTGTCTCGGTAAATTTGCATCCCTAGAATCTTGTTTGCTGGTCCTAAGTCCTTCATATCAAACTCTCTAGCCAACTGTGCCTTTAATTCTTGGACTCGATCTTTGTTGGGGCCTATCACCAACATGTCATCCACGTACAACAACAAAATGATGAAATCTTCTTCAAACCTCTTGTAATACGTACAATGGTCTGAACTGAGTCTATTGTACCCAAGGCTAATTATGAAGGAATCAAATCTCTTGTACCAACACCTCGGCGCCTGCTTAAGACCGTATAGAGATTTGTTCAACCTGCAAACCAAGTTCTCCTTGCCTATTTCAGCAAAACCCTCTGGTTGGAGCATATAAATTTCTTCTTCAAGTTCTCCATGAAGAAATGCAGTTTTCACGTCTAACTGCTCCAAGTGAAGATCAAATATAGCACACATTGCTAAGACTACTCTGATTGTCGTAAGTCGTACCACTGGAGAAAATATCTCATTGAAGTCTATTCCTTCTTTCTGAGCATATCCTTTCACCACTA